TTAATAAGCTCCCGATTCTCTTCAAACTGCACAAATATTTTTTTTAGCAAAGTATCTGGTGTGATGAAGATGGGATGGTATCTCTCCTTCAAAGGGGTTGGAAAACCACAAGTGGCTATCGTTAGATGACTCCAGCATTTAAATGTGAATAACTCTTTTGTGTCTGGTAACATCGATCGTTACCGTGTAGCCCGACGTCAAGGAAGTGGACGGAAAAAAACAGCAACATCTGCAGAAATGGTTCGAAAAGTAATGAAGCAACTTGATCGAAACCCACGTCGCAGTGGCCGAAAAATGGCTCGTGAGCTGAAGATATCGCAATATTCCATTCCGCAAATATTGAAAATATGAGCTGGGGGTGAAGCCATTGAAATTCCAAAAAGTGCAAGAACTTACACAACAACAGAAAGAAAATAGACTCAAAAGAGCTAAAGAGTTGCTTCGCTTGGTCGAAAGTGCTGAACTGCCGAATTTGGTTTTTTTTTTTGATGAGAAAACATTCGTTGTCCAGCAGCTTGTAAACAAACAAAATGATCATGTTTACTTGCCAAAGAGGTCAGCAGAAAATGTGAAATCGGTTGGCCACCAGAACTCAAGCGCCGGCCATGGTGATGGTGTGGGCCGCGATAATAGCCGATGGTCGCTCTCCGCTTGTATTAATCGACCGTGGCATCAGAATAAATTGGCCGCAGACCTTGGACATTGCAACAGGACTCAGCACGCGCCACCCAAGAATAGTTACATAATGAGTTTCCTCGCTTCATTTCCAGCGCACATTGGTCATCAAAATCTCCGGATATCAATCCGTTGGACTATTGTGTCTGGAGTATTTTGGAAAGCAAGGTATGCACCAAAAAATATCAAAGTGTCGATCACCTCAAGCAAGCGCTTCGCCGGGAATGGGCCAAAATACTGCAGAGCAACATTCGGGCAGCGTGTGACGGTTTCATTGGCCGTTCGAAGGCCATAATTCGTGCCAAAGGTGACCAACTCGTACAAATCTAAACTTTTTCTAAAATTTGATGCTATTTCCGACATTGTTTGCTTTCATGCAATAAAATTAGGAAAAAAATCTAAAAATTATGGCGTTTGACTTTGCTGCAGTTTTTTATCTCACCCAGTATATGGTATCTCACCATATACCAACATTTTACCAATATTATCACTGTTCTCATAAAATAAGGAAGAAGTATACCAGAATTGGGTTAGATATGAAATGTATTTTATTATACCAATCCTCCAATTCGAAAAAGTAGAAAAAAGTAAAAAAACATTAAGTTCGGCCGGGACAAACTTTGAATACCCTCCACCATTTGGAACGAATTTGGAAATTTTCCAAAAATAAAATCCGTTAAAAATTTTATTAAAATCTTAAAAATGAATGAACAACTCCGGTTAATAGTTTCCCTAAAATCATCAAAATACCGAATATCAGTGAGATACGTTGTATGTGGTCTATACGATATAGTGGACCTGTATAGACATTTCCCTTCCAGGGAGTAAAGTCCTTAGAAAGAACTTCTAGTATAGCCTTTTAGACAATTCCAATTAAAAATGTAGCTAAAATCACCAAAATACTGAATATGGGGTGGTACCGATATATTGGGGATATACGATTACGTGGACCTATACAGACGATACTCTTCTAGGGGGTAAAGTACTCAGAAGAAACTCCTTGTGGAAGGACGAACTTAATATACCCTCCATACTATGTATGGTGCAGGGTATAACAATTTAATACCAAAGCAATTCACTAAAGTGATGGATGTTTGCGCACGATAACTCTCGAAGGGAGTATCCGATTTGGTTCAATCGTGGTATATCGTAATACTTTTGTCAAAATTGGATCGAGTTCGGAGATGGGCAATATCGTTCCACTCCCTCTGTATCTCCCCCACAAAAAATTTTCCAAAAATATATTTTCTATACAGAAAGAATAACGATAATCCGATTTTGCTCCAACTTTGCAAATCCTAATATTTGCGTCAGTTCTAGGAAAGGTGCGAAAATGGACAATATCGGTCCACTCCATCAAGTACCTCCCCCAACAAGGGAAAAAATTTTGAATAATTACATCTCTTATAAAATGTGATGTAAAAGTCCGGTTGTTTTCAAATTTCACACATCTCAATATTTTTATTAACCCAAGGTCTGCTGTTAAGATGGAATATATTGGTTTACTTATTCCACAAAAGGTCGAAATTTTCAAAAAATATATTTTCTACAAAGAAAGAGAAAAAATAATCCAATTTTGATCCAACTTTGCAAATCCTAATATTTGCCTCAGTTCTTGGTCAGGTGGATAAAAATGGATAATACAGGTCAATTTCTTCAAGTGCTTCTCCCACAAAGGGTCAAAATTTTGAATAATTATAACTCTTATACAATATGATGTAAGAATCCGATTGTCTTAAAATTTCACACATGCCAATATTTTTATGTGAAAGAAATTACAACCTGTTACAAAGTTACCCCATATTTATATCGTATTTATTTAGGTCCGATACGAAACAGACAATATTGGCCCATTCCCACAGAATAAGACAATTCAATATAGGCACTATTAATGTCAAAGTAAGATACTCTCCTTTCAAGTGAATGCAAGAAATCGATATCGCAAACGCTGTGAAGCAAACAAAAATTCAATTGTTTAACACGTTGCGAACGTTTGAACGGCTCTGTTTGTTAAGCATTTGCTTTTATTGATAAAAAAAAAACAACTAATTTAAAAATTAAGTTATAACATATTTTTAAGCTTAAAAAATATAATCTGAATTATTAGGAATTGTTTTTAAAATATAGCATAATTTAAGGAGAAATAAATAAAAAATATAACTACACATAATATGCATGGGGATGCCATATTTACTAAATGATGACAAAAATCAAACAAATATATAAACGATGTTTTGTGTTACATTCATGCATTAACTCGAGAAAATACTGAAAAAAAATCCATAAAAAAGGGAAAATATTTTCGTTTTTTGGCAAAATTGTCACAAAAAGTTTCTTGGAAATGAATTATTTGATAACTTTTATTGACATTTCACGAAGAATATTTTTATCTTTTTGAAAGCATATTCTATAGGTAGTAGCATAGGTGAATTTAGAGTTTTTAATGTCAAAATTAAACAAGTAAAAAAGCTGTAAGTTCTGCGGGCCGATCTTTAAATACCCTCCACCATATGGAATGAATTACATTTGGCAATTTGCAAAAAAATAAAATCCGTTAAAAATTCTATTAAAATCTTAAAAATACAGAATGTATCCGTTATATTAGGGGTCTATGCTACGACGTGGACCTACATAGGCAACTTTTGTCATAAGCCGTTACAATATTCAAATACCAAATTTGAAACAATTAGGTGAATAATGTCGCTAAAATCATCAAAGTACCGAATATCGGAAGGTACCATTATATGGGGGGCTATACCAAAACGTAGACCTACATAACCCATTTTCAAGAATACATTTACTTTGTGGGGACTAAAATGTAAATTTCGAGGTGTTACAAACAGAATGACAAAACGTAATATACAATCCATGCTATGGTAGAGGGTATAATAATTTTATTGTATCTTATAACTCGCGATCTCTTGTACATTATATTATTTTTCGGGGCATCTTGATCAAATCGTTTGAGAGTATACTTTTATATTCAACACCACATAGTAGTAAGAATATTATGTCTTTGTACATGTGTCTGTAACATGAAGGAGGAAGCGAGATAGATCCATAGTTACTTTTGAGGATCTTCATAGAATCACCGAGTCAATTATTGCATGTTCGTCCGTCCGTTAGACCATGTTTTTTTTTTTTTTTTTTTGAGAACAAAAAGCGCCCAGGGAAATTGGTGAGAATCGGTTCAAATTTAGATATAGCTTCCATATATATCTTCAACCGATTTCGTGTTAATTGTGCACTAGTTAAAAATATTAGTCCAAATGACCTAAATTTTGGCACATCCGACCGAATTCAGTTTGCACATAAAATTCGGTGAAAATCAGTTCAAATATAGCTATAGCTTCCATAAATATGTTTCATTCGATTTGGTACATATAGATCGGTTCAGATTTGGATAAAGCTCCCATATATATGTTTAACCGATTTCGGTTAATTATGCACCAAATGGTCAATATCAGTCCAAATGACCTAATTTTTTTCACATCCGACCGAATGCTGTCTAGAAGTAAGTACATCAAATTTGATAAAAAAAATCTCCACAAGAATGATATTTGGTACCAGATATCTTATAGAGCTCTATCAAATTTTGTCAAAATCGGTTCAGATTTGGATATAGCTCTCACATATATGTCCTCGACTGAATTCAGCAGGTAAATTAAATTTGGAAAAAATCGGTTCAGATATAGCTATAGCCATACAGGGTGAGATAAAAAACAGCAACTAAGTCAAATGCCATAATTTTTAATTTTTTTTTTCAAATTTTATTGAATGAAAGCATAAAAAGTCGAAATAGCATCAAATTTTAGAATAAGTTTATATTTGTTCGAATTGGTCACCTTTAGCACGAATTATGGCCTTCAAAGCAATGGTACGATACACAAAAGATTTATTCACATTTAAATGCTGGAGTGCCAAATATAAAGAAATCACAGTATCACGCATGAATTCCATCACGAAGTTTTTTTTCTGGAAAATTCTCACCAAAATACTTTTGTATGCTTGTAAGAAATATAATTAGCTTTTACTGGAATAATTTTAACAGCTGTCGGACGAGTGGCTTAGGAATGACAGTAGTCTGAATTTGGTTGCAGTTTTTTTATCTCACCCTGTACACAAACAACGAAAAGTCGACTTTTTCGTTGAAGTCAAAATTCGTATAGTCTAACAGGTATTTTCTAATTTTGAGAGATTTTTTTAACGATAATTGGCAATTTTGGTAATACCATATTGGAGGATCTAAAAACTAAGGTTTATTTCTGGTTTTAGTTTTTAACCCATTTTCTTTTTTGACGAATTCAATGAAAACATAACCATAATTTATTTGTAATTTTCAACTTTATTTGAATACCATTAAACTCTTCATCAAAGCAAAATCTTAGCAAAATATATGTGTTAATTTCGAGAATTTCGAATTCTTGCTCAATAAAATTCCAATAACATTTTATTATTTTTTTTTTCTATATATATTTTTTACAATCATATCTTAAACAGTTAATTGTAGATATAAGCATTTATATTTTAGTTTAAAATACAATGTGTGGAAGGAGTTAGGATTGATTGGGAGAGAGGGAGAAAAGTAAGTTTTTTATGTTTCGATTTAAAACTAAATAAATTTAACAATAAATAACGACGACAATTAATGACAAAAAAAAAAATAATTACAAACAAATTGTGTGTGGAAATGAGAAAACGGTTATAATGAACTCTGGTTACTGGACACCTCTGGAAATAAGGGATTTTGAATTTGAATGTCTTACAAAATACATTTTTGACATATTTGTATTCTTATAACAAATAATTTTTATTACAAACCATAATTCATATGAAACCCTTGGAATGCTTCTATATGGATAGAATTAAAAATTATAAGAATAATACATGGGTTTCCGTACCACAGCTCCTTATAGCCGTTTCCAACCGCTTAATAAAATGTTGTAATGTGAATTTTGTTTTATGAAATAACATTTCTCGTTTAACAATAATTTACAATTTAACGGCAATTTTAACTAATTTGTTTTCTTTTGGAATTAGAATTTAGAATTCTTATTTAGCTTTGGATTTTTGGGGGTTTCTTATAAAGAAAGCGAATAAATAGCTAAAATCTGATTTATGTGGATACGTTTATTGCCGATTTGCTTGTTTTAAATATCGAGTTGATGTTATTTTATTTTTTGCCACTGAAAATTCACTAAATTCGTTTAGAAGTCGTAAGAATTGGCTTCATCGTCACCCTTGCGTACTTTGAAAACGAGTTTGTACAACACAGCGGCTACGATGGCACCGGCAAATGGGCCCACCCAGTAGACCCAGTGATCGGTCCAAATGTTTTGCACCACAGCTGGACCAAAGGAACGGGCTGGATTCATGCTGGCACCGGTTAGGTTAATCTGAGATAAAAAAAATCAAAAGTTTATTTTAATAAATTTAAATAAATAAAATAACAATAGTTTACTTACAGCACACAAATGGCCAGCTGCAATGGAAAGACCCACAGCCAAGGGGGCTGAGCCCTTGATGTCACTGCGACCGGGATCCGAGACACCCTTGACAACAATGACCAAAATGAATGTAATCAAGGCTTCGATTAATACTGCTTGACCCACAGTCATTGTGGAGGAAAATCCAGAAACACCCAAGCTAGCACCCGACACAACTTCAGATACACCAACCTGCCATTGGGATTGTTGTTTTATCGAAAAATTCAAATATGTGCTAATATACGCGACTCGTTACCTTAATAACAGCAGCTCCGGCAATTGCTCCCACACATTGTACGGCAATGTAGAGGGCGCTCTTAAGAATACTCATTTCACCCACAATCAGGAAGCCAATGGTAACAGCCGGATTTATGTGACAACCGCTGATGTGTCCGATGGCCTAAAATTTAAAGATAAATAACATAAAATATTATTATTATTATTATTTTTTTTTGTATTCGAAGTCTTGGACCTTTGGCCAGATGTCAAAAAATATCGATATTGTTTCACAAATAAAGGCTAGGATATACATATATGAACACATACATACATACGTGTATATTTCATTGTATCTTGAACTTGCCTTGAACTTGCCTTGAACTTGAATATTTTTTGTAACATCAAAGGTCAATATTTTTGTTTTGCCGAAAAAAACCCAATTTATTTGAGTCAGTATAATTTGTCGCTTTTGCCCGTAACTTCTTCAAAACAAGTTTTCACTTTCGTTAAAGTATCAAAATAATTAAGACATCAGTTAATTAGAAATCAAATTTTGCAAAAAAAAAAAAAAAAAAAAAAAAAAAAAACAAAATCGATCAATACTTTAACCCAAATATTAAATTATGACATTTTGCATTACCACTCAAGATATTGAAATTGCTGGCGCCAGCGTTCGATCGATTTGTCAAGACATCAATGATAAATGGGGTGTTTAATTTTCATCAAATTTTGAAGGTATTTTAAATACTATAAATCACTTTTTTTAGAGGAATTTTGAAAAATAAAATGTTTAACCAGGTCATTGCACCAATTTTTTGTTTATTAAAAATTTGAGTCGGTATTTTTTCTGAAAAAAATCACACCTCAAAAATTTGAATTTATAATTGATGGGGGAATTTTTAAGTGGTATAAGTAAATAATCATAACATCTCAATAAGCACTGCGAAACTTGGTAGGGAGTGTAAGCAAAATTGATTTGATACGAATATTCACAAATTAGGAGAGCATGAGTTCTTTAATTTAAGACCATGAAGTCCTCAATGGATGACCATGAGGTCCTCAATGGATGACCATGAGATCTTCAATAGGAGACCATGAGGTCTTCAATAAAATACCATGTGGCCTTCAGTAGAAGAACATGTGGTCTACAATATAAGACCATAAGGTCTTCAGTGGATGACCATGAGATCTTCAGTGGGTGACCATGAGATCTTCAGTACAATACCATGAGGTCCTTTATGGATGACCGTGAGCTCTTTAAAGGATGAGGTTTTCTTCAATAGAAAGCCATAAGGTCTTCATCATGAGGTGTTCCATGAGGTGTTCTTCGATAGAAGACCATCAGGTCCTTTCGAGAGAAGACCATGAGGTCTTCTTCGGGAGAAGTCCATGAGGTCTTCTTCGAGAGAAGTCCATGAGGTCTTCTTCGAGAGAAGTCCATGAGGTCTTCTTAGAGAGAAGTCCATGAGGTCTTCTTCGAGAGAAGTCCATGAGGTCTTCTTCGAGAGAAGTCCATGAGGTCTTCTTCGAGAGAAGTCCATGAGGTCTTCTTCGAGAGAAGTCCACGAGATCTTCTTCGAGAGAAGTCCATGAGGTCTTCTTCGAGAGAAGTCCATGAGGTCTTCTTCGAGAGAAGTCCATGTGGTCTTCTTCGAGAGAAGTCCATGAGGTCTTCTTCGAGAGAAGTCCATGAGGTCTTCTTCGAGAGAAGTCCATGAGGTCTTCTTCGAGAGAAGTCCATGAGATCTTCTTTGAGAGAAGTGCATGAGGTCTTCTTCGAGAGAAGTCCATGAAGTCTTCTTCGAGAGAAGTCCATGAGGTCTTCTTCGAGAGAAGTCCATGAGGTCTTCTTCGAGAGAAGTCCATGAGGTCTTCTTCGAGAGAAGTCCATGAGGTCTTCTTCCATAGAAGACCATGTGGTCTTCTTCCATAGAAGACCATGAGGTCTTCTTCGAGAGAAGTCCATGAGGTCTTCTTCGAGAGAAGTCCATGAGGTCTTCTTCGAGAGAAGTCCATGAGGTCTTCTTCGAGAGAAGTCCATGAGGTCTTCTTCGAGAGAAGTCCATGAGGTCTTCTTCGAGAGAAGTCCATGAGGTCTTCTTCGAGAGAAGTCCATGAGGTCTTCCTCCATAGAAGACCATGTGGTCTTCCTCCATAGAAGACCATGTGGTCTTCCTCCATAGAAGACCATGTGGTCTTCCTCCATAGAAGACCATGTGGTCTTCCTCCATAGAAGACCATGTGGTCTTCCTCCATAGAAGACATGTGGTCTTCTTCATTAGAAGACCATGTGGTCTTCTTCCATAGAAGACTCATCTCCAATATTATCCACAAGCCGAGTTTCTCTGTTTCCATTGCCGATAAATTAAGTTATGATCATATTTAAGTATTATCCGACATTAGGAACTGTTGCATCAGTTTTCTTTTTTAAATTTAATTCCAAAAAAAATAAAAACCTTCAATTCTACTTATACATTCGTGTAAATATTTACAAACAAATGAATTGAAAAATAAACATTATATTATTAGTTTATTAATAATATATACAAAAAAAAAAAAAAAGAAGAAAGTTTCAAAGACCAATTCACTTTAATTGCTACGAAAAAAGAACAGTACAATAATTTGGTGACGCAAGAAAAAATACCCAAATATGAACACCCTCCCATTCGAAATTCCTCTTCAACAAAACACAAAAAAGAAAACCGTACACTAAAATTAACATTCATTCAGAAATGGCGTTATTTTAATTTTGTTTACATTCAAAACAACAATAATTTGAATGCTAAACTTGTCGATGAAACCCATCGAGGGAGGTGGTGGCGGACCGGGCCAATTGGCACTTAAGTCAATCAAGAATTTTTTACGAAGAGGCGCGCAAAAGTAAATTTTGTTTGGCATACGTAATGAGCTAGAACAGTGCGGGCCTGAGGCTTGAGGCGGTACTTTAAAATTCAAATTCATGCATTTTGCGTTTGCGCATTGTTTGTTTGTTTCAATATTCGAGCACTGAATCGCCGCCGACAACCACAGCGACGACGAGTTACTCACCGAATGTGGGTCAAAAATTTATGCGTTTCAAGAATTATAATAATGTTTTTTTGTTTTATTGCAGATTTTTGTCCTAAAATCTGCATAAATCACTTTAGTTATTGCAAAGAGTGAAAAAAAAGAACCGAAGTAAAGAGAGCAGAATTTAGATCATGTACTGAAATAATAAAAAATATGATATTGTCGTCATAAAAATGCCAAGACTTTCCATGTTCTACATATTGTGCCCGATTTTGAGAATGTCAAAAATTACACTGTGCGACACAAAAATTATCACAGGAAAAACTCTGTAGATAATACAAGTAGTGTTAAAAGTAGAAGATCCGTGTGTCGGCGTTTGGAAAATTAACATCACAAAGTAACCTAAACAGTGGGAGCAATTTCATGGATTTTTTAAAGACTATTTTTCAAACATCCTTAGTCCACTTAACGTTGATTTTTTAAAAAAAATGTTTTGCAAATACCCACTAAACGTAATTTTTTTGAAAGAATATTTTTCAAATACCCAGTAAACGTGTTTTTTTAAACAATATTTTTCAAAGACCCTTTGACCATGAAATGAGGATTTTTAAAAGAACATTTTCATAAGACCCTTAGACCATTAAACCTGGATTTTTAAAGGATATTTTTCAAAGACCCTTAGACCATGAAATGTGGATTTTTTAAAGAATATTTTTCAAAGACCCTTAGACCAATAAACGTGGATTTTTAAAAGAATATTTTTTAAATACCCACTGAACGTGGATTTTTTTAAATAATATTTTTCAAATAGCCACTAAACGTGGATTTTTTTTAAAGAATATTTTTTAAATACCGACTAAACGCGGATTTTTAAAAGAATAAATTTTAAATACCCACTAAACGCGGATTTTTGAAAGAATATTGTTCAAATACCCTCTAAACTTGGATTTTTTGAAAGAATATTTTTCAAATACCCACTAAACGTAGATTTTTTTTAAAGAATATTTTTCAAATACCCACTAAACGTGGATTTTTTGAAAGAATATTTTTCAAATACCCACTAAACGTGGATTTTTTGAAAGAATATTTTTCAAATACCCACTAAACGTGGATGTTTAGAAGAATATTTTTTAAATACCCACTAAACGCGGATTTTTAAAAGAACATTTTTCAAATACCCTCTAAACGTGGATTTTTTTTAAAGAATATTTTTCAAATACCCACTAAACGTAGATTGTTTTAAAGAATATTTTCCAAAGAACCTTAGACCATTAAACATGGATTTTTAAAAGAATATTTTTCAAAGACCCTTAGACCATTAAACGTGGATTTTTAGAAGAATATTTTTCAAAGACCCTTTGACCATTAAACGTGGATTTTTTGAAAGAATATTTTTCAAATACCCTCTAAACGTGGATTTTTTGAAAGAATATTTTGCAAATACCCACTAAACGTGGATTTTTTGAAAGAATATTTTGCAAATACCCACTAAAAATGGATTTTTTTAAAGAATATTTTGCAAAGACCATTAAACGTGGATTTTTTTTTAAATTTTCTGCAAAGACCATTAAACGTGGATTTTTTTTAAAGAATAATTTACAAAGACCATTAAACGTGGATTTTTTTAAAAATATTCTGCAAAGACCAATACACATGGATGATTTTAAAGAATAATTTGCAAAGACCATTAAACGTCGATTTTTTTAAAAATATTCTGCAAGCACCCTTAAACATGGATTTTTTTTAAAGAATATTTTGCAAAGACCATTAAACATGGATTTTTTTAAAATATTCTGCAAAGACCATTATACATGGATTTTTTAAAGATTATCTTTCATCCGATTTCATATATTAATCCCCCGAAGCAATCACATTCGGTACAGAATATATGATATATACAGGGTGAGATGAAAAAACTGCAACCAACTTCAGACTGCTATCATTTCTAAGCCACTTGTCCGTCAGCTGTTAAAATTATTCCAGTGATAGCTCATTACCTTGTTTACTTGCGTACAAATGCATATTGGTGAGAATTTTCCAGAAAAAAATGTTCGTGTTGGAATTCCAGCGTGATAGTGTGATTTCTTTATATTTGGCTGGAAAACTACAAATGGCTATTGTTAGAGCACTCCAGCATTTAAATGTGAATAAATCTTTTGTGTATCGTACTAT